TTCTTATTATAAAAATTACAATTAATGCAAATACAAAACTTTATGCATAACATGTGATAAAAAGTTATATGGAGTAAAATGTTCACTTGAATTATATATTAATATATAACGAAAAAATTAATTATTTACGAAAAAATATAGTTTTTCTTTCAAAAAAATCTAAAACTTATAAAAATATTTAATATCTAGAATTACTTTATTGTAAATGCTTTCAAATTATTTTTATATATTGCAAAAAATAAACTTTATATGACATCAAAATATTATAATGTACAGTCATGTTTGATATAATACTGACTTATATCACTGCGATACGTGATACGAATTGTCGCATCAGCCGAACGTCCTGTGTAACTCATCGTTTTTTAATGGACGAATTGATGTGTGTTACGCGCATTTCAAATTGCCTGAAAGCTATTGTTAATTAGTTACAGGACTACGCTGTATATATGCTTTATCGATAATTGATCGCTTTGTCGATCGATGATCGCGTTTCGATGTGTGACGTAACGGATTTAAATAGTGGCCTTTTGCGGGAGAAATCGCTTTTCATTCCGCGATGCGTTTCATCACATTCGCTTCCCGAGCATGATCCGAACGTTAATGAGACGGCGTTGTACCGCATTATTATCGCGGACCTTTCCCCTAATCCCGTGTTGAACGTTTGCTAATTTCTGCAAAGAAATAGAAGCGAGCTCAATTTACATTGCGTGTAAATTGTGGTGATATATAGTTACGTGGAAAAGACGTTGATTACATATTTTATCAACGTCCCGGGGGTAGAAGGGAGGGAAGGGGGAGGGGGGGAACGTGATCGACGTCGAGGGTTTATATCGTGTGAAAAATCGAGAACGCTCGGCGAAAGTCTAGTAGCACGTTAGCGCAGCTAACGTAAGAGGCATACGTTACAAAAAAAGGTCACGACGTCCTACGCTGTTGAGGTTGAAATATGGGGGCTGTTCGCTTTAAGCCATGGTTTTTACCCCAAACGCCGTCGAACGTAATGCGTATAAATTATGGACACGTGAGATAACGGAAAGGCGGGAGGATTTCTCGAAAGGAAATGTTGAATCTCTAACGTATACATAAGCTTCATGTGTAATTATATCATTGAAAAAAATGGCAGGCTCTATCACAAATATTAAAAAAATCAAATTAATACATTATTAATTAAGAGCAAAGTCTTGAAACCTTCCTCCGGAACGCCCCTGTACGTTTTTCGTATTTGTGTCATCCGCTTAAAGAGATAAGGTAAAACTAATTTGCGAAGTACTCGCTAACGAGAAAGCGAGATTATATATATATATATATATATATATATTTTGGTTTTACGTTATAATAGGATGAACACGTTGTATGTTGTATATAAAATAAATATTTAATCCTAAATAAGATTTATAGAATAAGAACAGTTATTCATTTCGGATTAAAGAAGAGAGTTTACCCTTCAAGATTATTCTTATCGTGTATAGTGATAGGATTATTAATACGTTCAGAGTAATTTAATAATATTTTCAAAAAAATTTTACACACTTAATGATCAAACAAAGAATTCCCGATGCTTATGAGCGAATGACTTGTAAGCGGTAGACAGTGACGTCACTTCGTTATTTTTCTTGTCGTATTAATATATATATAGTACACACCGAGTGTGCAGATCGAGATATTTAGGAGGAGTATCCCAATCTTTCGATCGAGGCATCTCGTGCTTTTATCTTGTACGTGGCCTATCCGCACCCGGCCGAGGTTTAGCCGAAATAGTCCGCGCGCGTGCATGTGTAGATATCTCAGATTGCTAAGGTTGAATTTCATTCGTGCATGGAATGACAGGATGGTTTGAGTTCATGGGCGTTTTCGTCTAGCGCGATATCTCCTCCGACTATTGAAGTCGGGGGGACTACATGTATAGTACCGTTGTTAAGGTGTACTCCGTATTGACCGGGCTCGCCTTGGTCGCTGCAGCCGACTCGTAGCACCATCACGTGCGAAGTCTGAAAATGAATTTTTCGGACGTGCTCGACCATGCCAGACTTTGACCCGAGCGGAAGGCACACTCTCGTCGTCGTAACAGTCACCTCTATGGTGACCCTTTCCACTTCCTCTTTCTCTATTTTCTTTTCTCTTGAAAAAAAAAATCCCGTCTTTCTAGTCGCCAAGTTTACGATTGTCTCGCGTCGTTACTTTTTATAAGGCGCGTCGTCAGAGACGTTTCTTTCTTGGGTCGTGTACGCGTAGGGAATGTGAAGATGTCTTGTTACTTTTTATTTTTCGAATTTAGGAAAACTCTAGAGACGACGACACGACAGATTCGTTTCGCGTGCTGAACGTGAAGTGCTAGGCTTAAACGTTTATTTCGATTTGTCAAGATGTCTTTCGTGTTGTAAGGAATGATGCAGACACGAGTAAATGTAAATGTGTCTGTCTCTCAATCGATTTGTGTTTCCTTCTGCATTCCAGGTGGGCATGGAACGCCGTGACGTCATACTGACAGCAGTTTTCGGAACAGTTGGTGCTCTCGCAATTTTAGTAGGACTCGCATTAGCAATGTGGCTCTATTTACGCTCTAGGAAGTCCAAACAACGGGATGACGATCTCGAGGATCAAAATGACAATGGCGATGGCTCGGGCCAGCAACAACAAACCACCAAGAAAAACGGCTTTCTCAATCTGAAGACGCCTCTGATCAGCACGAAGGCTCTGGGGTAAGTGAATTTTTCTTTCCATTCCGAAAATAACTGAACGATTATTAATATGATATAACCCAGCCCTCTATAATTCAGCCATTTTCCCGAGAATTCGGTCTCTTCTTTCGAAGAAATTGATATTTTAAATCCCTCATCGATGTTAAGTAGTATATAAAGTAGTATAAAGTATATCTTTTATATTTTATCTATCTCTTTTTATACTGCAATGATTAATGACGGATGGTGCAATTTTTGAAATTTATATGAGAATAAATGTATTCTACGTTTGATTTCAATGAATAGTAAAGAAGCTACGGTCGTTATGCATTTGTCACTTTTTGTTTGCCTGTTCGCGCGCGTTTGTCGTCTTTCCTCTTCTGAAAACCTCACTTAAAGATACCACAATGTATTATATTTGCAATTTACAAAGAGTTAATCATTAATCCTGAGTTACGTCTCTTCACGACTAAGACCGTCATTCGTTCTGTTTTATCATGCAAAATCAAGCGTCATCTACATTTGTTTCGCCGAGTAGCTTCACCGAGCAAAGATATTTCAGTAACGTAGCAATTACGATGCATTTAATTTGCGAAGAATTTCATATTTATTTTCTCGCACGATTGTGCATGTGCGATTTATCATCGAACGTTTTCTACTTACGCGATGCTCGTAGATCGCTTCGTTACTGTCCGAGCGCGAAGACTCGGGGATAATTTCGCGTCGAAGTAGTATAGCCGCGCATTAGTCAGACGCGTCGAAATATCAGCAGCAGGTTGTCTGTCGGTAAGGTTACCTTATCGGCAATGGAGTTATCGACGCTGGAATTTCGCAGGCGAGAGATTTTTGCGCTTCCCCGGCCTAGATAACGGAAACTTGCAACCGCGTTGTACCAGCGGAACAATTATTGACGGACAACGTCGTATATATCGCCGAACGATACTCGAAATTCCTGGCGAGGATCGTTTATTACCGAGTCATTTATTAGTGTCTCTAGCTCGAGTAATCAAGAGGTCCCAATTCGTTACGCGCATCGCTCGGTACGGCGAAGTCAAAGCGAAACGTGTCGTTATTACCAAGCAACGCTCGCTTCGCAACATTATTCGATTCTGAAAATGTTTGATTACGGTGTAACTTCATGAACTATCCGCCGAGATTAACGCATACTTTCGACGTTCGCTATTAAACAGTGCTATTAAACTCCCGTTTACGTAATCTGCAAACTGTGCAAATATATATGTTTCTGGCAAAATTGTTTGAATGTACAATGTTTCAAGGAAATTAATGACAGTTTTATTAACAGTATAACAATGTTTCTTTTAACTGAACATTATAAATTTTGAGTTCTTTTTATGGTCGATTGCTATTAATATCAATAAATTTTGATATTAATATTTGCTTCTAATTTGCTCGAATTTATTCTTTCATGTCAGATTGATATAAAAAATTTGCTATTATTACTAAAATACGCTTATTTCTTAGATAATTTTAGGTGACTTATTATTTCTAATTCATGATTTTTATAATCTTATATTTTGAATGTATTTTAATATGTACATATTTTATATATTGATTATATAATGCTTTGGACTTTTTAGGTGTTTCTTATATTATGCATCACATAAAATTATAAGTGAAATTTACCCTCAATTCTGCAGAGAATTATATATAGGTCAAAATTCTAAAGCGGATTTTAATATCATCCGATTATCAGAATTTCTAAAGTTAAATTTCTCCTTCGACAATCTATAATTTGTCAGAAATCAAGATAGAATTTCCTGTTTTAGATGTCATTACGAAAGCTATTTAGACGATGAGAATATACATATATATATAAAAAAAATAAATATATATATATATATATATATATATATATATATATATATTAAAGTAGATGTGTGTGGTTGGGGGGGATATTAAATGAGCTTGCTAATAATATAATTTCACGAAACTATGCACTGAAACTAATATATTCCTTTATATCAACTAATATATTCCACATTTGCTCTATGTAAAACAATATATAATTATGCTATTTTCTTATATAATGTGTGAAATACATATTTTTAGCGTAGTTTATTATTTATAAATATATACGCAATTTTAAACTAAGTGCAGTTTTGGTATTAAAAATAATATAACGATTAACATTTATATTATAATGTCAATATTATTACGTCTGTAGTTTATTTTCTAAAAATTGCATGTTTATTAAAAATATTATTAAAGGAAATTTAAATATATTAATATTAACTCAAAAGCTTTTATTCGATCAGATTAACTCCCCCCATGCCAAGTTGACGTCAAATTCGCTGCTGTTATAAAGTCACGCTTGCTTTTAAATATTACCTGATTCAAAAAATTGCCATAGAAAATTTTTATAAAGAATATAACATCACGGAGAAAACTGCGCATTATTGGTAAGCTTCTATATCAACATTCTATAGCATTGTAATTATGTCCTCTTTTTACATAGTCAACGAATTCTGTGAAATCCTCATTTTTGTCGTTGTTTACATTTGTAGCTTTTTGACATGATTAAATGACGTAACAGTTCTGTTGACATTCGATTATATAACGTATCATTAATTTCATAGTTTGTTTTTCAACGGTCGACTGTCAATTAGAGATATTAAGAAATTTAAATATTAGTATTTGCTCAAAAGCTTTCACTTGCGACAGTCCAATCCTCCAGTTATAGATTGGCACTCTTTTGCAATTTTTTCCCTTTGATGGGCATTCGGCCGAACTCTGTAAATAGAACTGGAGCCCCTTTCGACACATTTATGTGGAACATCTGAAACAATCGTTAACGAACAATTCATGTAACGTGCTTTTCATGGCTACTCCACTAGTGATTCTGTTTGTATTTTTCTCCGTCAAAAATAAGATACACAAATATGATATTGTCAAATATGCGCGCGCAACATGATTGACAAGCATAGAATTTTCATGCTTTTATAATCTCGTTCTGAATAATGATAAGCTATTTTCCGATTTTCAAGCCAACAAATATCTCGACATTCACAAAAATGTTTGACATTTTCAAATGTGATATTAAAATATTTTTCCAGATTATTTCTTTAACAAGATAGCGATGTTTAAAATTTCATTTCTTCTTATATATTCTATTTCAATAATAATAAATTCTTTTTCGCTTTTTCGAAAAAATAAAATGCAGCGCAAAATCTCATAAACTACATGATATAAATAAGCATTTTAAATTTTAATCCGGTTTTACATACGGAAATGGAAATGTGGAAGAAAATGGAAATTTATTAATTTTTTGCTACTTGTTTGCCTTCCTTTCACAATGTTCTTTCACATCAAATTCCACGAACATACACGCGGATTATTTATATTTCTACAATACATATTGCATATCCAGTTTTTACCAGATATCAAAGGAAGATTATTGAATCGAAACGGTAACCCATTCTAATTGTATCGGTGATTCGATTATCAAGAAATTTTCATACGATTCGGTCCGGGAAGCGCGTAACTGCGAAATTTTCCACGACAGAAGGTAAAAACAATAGAGGTAGCAATATACAATTTTCAATGGCTGTCGAGATTGTGGCCCCGAGTGTATGCACGTTTTAGAAATGCGCTGTGACGTTTATTCTTATGCTTGCCAGTATAAATCGCGATGGAACAAAACTCGCCATATGAATAGCTCGCGGGTACAGCGGTATATAGTCTATCGAAAAATAACAGAAATCGTTTTAAATTTTATAATTCAGCTTTTGTACGAACAACGAACATTTTACCACTTTCCTTCAACGAGGAGACATTTTCGTCTCTGGATTTGTGAAGTTTTACCTCTGTAACAAAACACACAGCTAACAATCGGAGCAACGCAACCGTTTTGTTGCCGTTGCGCGAATTTATATAAACGACATACGCGTCGCACGTTTGCTTTCCCGTTTGTAAAAATAACCGGTGTTACAATTCAACGACTCTGTACTAATCCAGAGGTATGCAGTACATTAACAGAGTAATCCCTCGTGTTCTTTTAATTCTCCGTATTCATGAATGGAAAATGTGCACAGCCTCGTGTTATGCACTCGTGTGCGCGACACCTCTGCGACTGCAGGGAAATCAGGGAGAACGTAGTGATTTATTTCTACGGTGTGGAATAACGGCGCGCATTAGTATAGTCGACTAGTAGTTTCGGCTGTTATGATCGTTAGTTCCGTTAGTACCCTCCCCGGAGGACTTGAAAACTTACTGCGGCCCGCTGGATTATATCGTCTCGCGCCCGAACTGACGCGCCGTGAGTTCGACGGGACCTGTCGATTTCTAAAAGGACCGTTCGAGATCTTCGACGGGGGATTTACGAGATTTTCCATCAACGACCGTACAGATTGGTGGCGCGCGATTGGTAACGTGAGTGAGAAATCGATTCGAGGCACGACTGCGGCTGTGGCTCGTAAACCACAGGAGACCTTGCCGAGGGAAACGCACACGTCGCATCGCTGAATGTCCGCTATTCACGAAAATGGAAACGTCACCGGCGATGCATCCGCGAATCAAGCCTGAGAGCGGCCGAATTCCGGTTCCGCATTCAGTGGCGTTGAATGAAAATTTCCGGAAAACAAGTCTTTTTCAACGAAGCTCTATCGGGCAAATCTGTCGCGTATTTTCGCGTATTTTGTGCTTTTCCCTTTGATTTTTTTTTTTTTTTTTTTTTGTTAAGCTTCTCGCGGCGCCAGCGCTGCATAAGCGTGGGAGACGTACGATCGCACGTGGCGTGTACATGCACACGTCACGTGCGAGACTAACGTCGTCGTCGAGCCAATCTCGGATACTCATCCCTTTCTGAAATATAGGCCTGCAACTCGCTTCGGTGGTTTGCGGTTAAGCTGTGCTTGTGACGATCGCTAAAGCGCTTCGTGACGTCGCCGTCTTGTATCGTCACCTTTTAGCCCGGGGAAAACGGTGGCTCTGTAAAGAAAAGTTATAAGCTGGCTACACATCGACGTTTACGTCGATACAATCGGCCTTCTTGGACAGGTTTGGCGACTATGTAATTTGGCGTCGCCGA